ACGCGCATTACAGCGCGTTACAGCGCACCGAAGTGCACCATCGCGCAGTCCGAACGCTAGCTGAGGTGGAGAGGTTAGAGAATGACTTCCAGCTACGCCAACGACCATAATCATCAGAACTTAGGCTCTTTTTTACAAGTGAAAATCGTTCTGTGGAAGGGATTTTCTTAGATGATGGCTACCTAGGGTAGTTCGGCCTCCTGAACACTGTCGCATCAGCTGACGCGAGAACTCCCGGAATTGGTGCCAGAACACCCCAAGGGAAGTCGCTGTAACTAGGGATATTCTGGGCTCCAGGATACTAGTATAATTTGGCATCTGCCCGCCACGGGAATGCATGACAGTGCACCGCAGGCGCCAACGAAAATAGCTCTGTGGCGTCGCATGTATTCATGACGTACTGTTGCGGTGTTCCTGTTTAGAGAGTTAAAATGGGCCCTCGGAGCGACCTTGCGAGCAAATCTGATCCAGGGAGAAAATTCGGCAAACTTTCTTGGACTAATATTTGAAGAATGGGGTCGTGAGGGGTAAGTAGTGCAAGAAAGTCAAAGCAGAAGTAGAAAGCTGTACCTTCATAGATGAGAAAGGCGAGGAGGAAGTAGAAGATGAGCGATCCCCAAATGACGAAATGATTAATGGCCGTCCAATAGGCAGTGTCAAAGGCAATCTGCCCCGTGACGACGACAATCAACGCAGTGAAGTGGTGTACGCCAGCGATGCGTAGTCATCCAGATCCTTACCATCCGAGGCAGCGCCGTTCAGAAATGCTCCATATGGGATGAAAAAAATCACCAGGGAGCTGTAAAACGAATACTTTTCAGTAATAGTGTATCAACTGCTTATCGCTGGCCTCAAAACGACATCATCACGCACCTGAACATGCCATGGAGGACGGAATAGATGAAGATTCTCATGTTGAAGAAGAGATTGAACTGACCGGGCAAGTAAAGCTTCGGATATCTGAAAACGACTAAGCCATTAATTGTTCTGACAAGAGGTGGAAACGTTGCGCTCACTGTAAGCTGTAAGTATCGTCGACATCCTGATCAAGCGCTCCCATAGCCAACACAGGTAGTGCAGTGAAGAACAGATTATAGCAGGCAATGAACACCGCATCGAAGACCGTCTACAAAACATTTAATACAAGTAAATGAAAAAAAAGTTGGAGTTGCAGGGAAAACGTCCTCATTTGCATTAAAATAGAGGGGCTAGATCTGAGTGATACGTAATGCGGGCAATTAGGTCTGGTTTGAGGTTACCCTGTCTTCTCAGTCTCAGAGACGAAACGAATTCTTTCCAACCTTAACGCTGACTGAGCTGCACTCCATGACTTTTACCGCTGCAGAACTGCCTACAAACGCAGCCATCAGCCTTCGAGTTCTATCCTTCGTCATCCGGGCACTTTTGGATTAGAGCGGCTAACGCGTCACGGGCACGCGCGTCACGACCGCCTGCATCAGCTGTTGCGCCAATTTGACCAATTTCCTCCCTAATTCTTCAAGGTTATTTACTGTTTTTAAGGTCATTTTTAATTGCCTTATATGCATGCTATGTAGAATGTGGCACCTCTTCTTTTTGCTTTTTGCGAAGGAGAGTTTTGCGATTTTTTTGGGTGTTTGGTTTGAATTGTCTGCTTGACGCTGTTTAAGTGCTTACGCAAAAATTCGTCGAGGAAAAGCAGCGAAAACCGTGTAAAAATCAGCCTCGAGAAATGGCTAAAATAGGCTGGAAACAGCCTGATTTGCCCCGCTCGCTGGACACGCGCCCGCCGCGTCGCGAGCCTTGGCGGCCCTAATCAAGCTGCCGCGATGACGACTGTATATGTTGAAGCTACAAATTATTGCACTATTTACCCTTTACGCCCATGCCATCCGATCATGGCTGGTTCCTGACCGGACTTTTTCTCGTGGGCAGGAATGGGGCTGAAAACTTGGCTCCAGGGGTAGTTCGACCCGCTGAACACGAATATCGCATCCGCTTGACCCGAAACCTCCTGGCGCCCGCGCCACGGGCGCCGGCGCCAAAATACTCGAAATCACCAAATTCGCTGAAAACTTGCTCCCAGGGGTAGTTTGACCCCCTGAACACGAATATCACATCCGCTCAACCCGAAACCTCCTGGCGCCCGCACCACGGGCACCGGCGCCAAAATACCCCAAATCATTGGCGCCTGTGGCGCGGGCGCCAGGAAGTTTCGGGCTGAGCGAATGTGATATTCGTATTCTGGAGGTCAAACTACCCCAGGAGACAACATTTGAGCAAAATCTGCCCACGGAGAAAAAAGTCGGTCAGGAACTGGCCTGATTTCGGATGACTGGGGCAGTAAAGGGTAATATAGTGCCAAATTCTTTTAATCACCACAGGACTATGGCAAGCTGCCCCTGGCGAGCAGAGTGGCTACTGTTTATTGTCTATCATTAGAAGGTGCTGAGCATTAGTTCGAAATTGCTGCGAGAATGGCCATCTCTACAATCGCACCGAGGTGAACACAACCTAACAATGACGTCAGACCTTTGAAGGGTACTGCTGTGAACTCATACAAAGAAATTTAAGCTGCCAGCAGCCTTCCACCGTGAAATGGATCAGTTGTTCCCTGGTTCATCGCTAGTCACGACACAAGAGCCGAGGAGGGCGAAAGTTGGTTGGAGTGTTACGCTCCGCATCTGAATGTGCAGAAGCCTTCTTTGACATACAGTCCTCATCATTGCGGACTGTCGGAGGGCGGCTGTGCAACGCGGTCCAAATGGGCGTTCGGCCTCGTTGCTCTACCAATGGCGATCGGGTAAAGATCGATTTAGGGAGGGAGCAACCAATGATGGAAACGCCGCAGGTGCGAGCCGCTGATTGCGACCCGACAATTGCGGTGATGTAAAGTGTAGTAGCTCTGGCCACAAGCATGGAGGATATATTCTCTAGCTTGCTTTGTCTTGCGACCACGACATGAGATTCTCGGTTGGGTAAGGACCATGCCATTAGGAGTGCTGGAGGTGGATTAGGCGCTTGGCGGGGTAGTACACATCTCTAAAACTCGAAACACTTTTAGGCCTCTGAAAAAGACGATTACGTCGAAACGTCAGGCCGTTAGAATTAATTGCGACCCGACAATTGCGGTGGTATTAACCTGGGAACCTCGAAAGGTACAACATCGCATACTGAACATGAAGGACCTACTAGCTTAGAAATAAGTAATGAAAGCGCGGATGAGGCTACGGCTCTGCCCACTGGCACGACAGCGCCCAACTTTCCCGCGGTGCTGCAGTTGTTCTGCTGCAAGCTCCTCCCATTTTGAATGGTGAGGGTGAGGTGATAAGGGGGAAAACTGATACCAGAAAGTTAGTAAGCATCGGAACACTCCTCTCTTCGCCTAATGCACGTACAAACGCGAAGCTTGGGGTTTATTTATTTATTTGAATTGACGCCATTCATCAGTATCCCAAAAAAAGAGAAACAGGAAAGGCCACCCAAGAAGGATTCTATATGGGTAGTTCAAGCGGATTTTTTGCTTTTGTTTCCACTTTTGTGTTATTAACCACAATTCGTTAGTGTTTCA